CCCCCCAGTTGATACAACCTCCTAGACACAGCGTTTTGTATTTTAAGTGCATGTTCCAGGGTATTGATGTTAAGTTCTATATTCATCCTTTCTGCTGGCCTTTCCCAGAATGAACTTGTACATAAGCTTTTAATTAAAGTATCTTTCGAAGGTTTTAGTAATGTGCAGGGTATATGTTTTGAAAACTCTAGTGAATTGCTGTTCGTGATCTTGCTGATATGAGTAGCTTGGACTCCATGCAGAATCTGGAGTAGAATGGTTTGGCCCTTGAAAAGAACAGAGTTTCTGCATCTCAGAAGTCCCATAGCTACCGTCTCAGAGAAAGCAAAAAGTATGTTTTGAAAGGTGATTGTTCTGTATATTAACATGCTTCCCCACTTGTGCTCATAGGGAGACTCGCACCTGATAGATCAGCTGTACTGGAAATACACTTCAGTGTGGTTGATAATGTTGCAGGTTCTTTGTGTTGATAACATAGGTATAGGATGTTACCGAAAATTTGTTACCACAGAGAGGATGTTATGCTCAGCATACCAGAGTCATGCCCACTTTCTCTTCCCACATCTTAAAAATAAATGTTTTCCAGGAGGTGGAAGTTGAAATTCTCCATTCATCTACACAGTTTATAAAGTGAGCAGCTATACTGGACTCAGTATTTTGATGTGCCAAGTTTTTTTGTTTGGTTTTCATGGGTTTTTTAATCACTTACCTAGAGGACCAGTTCCTGAAGAAATAGAGATTCTGAAGGAATGCAGTTATGGTTTGGATCCTTGCCTATGCTAGATTTCAAGGCTACCAGTCTGTGATAGTGGCCATTTGAGAAGGTGCTTGTTGCCGTCTTTGCAAAGTGCTGAGGGGGTGTTTGTTTCGGTAACTTTTTTTTTATTTTGCAGACTTGGAGTGCTTTTCCTGTGATTGGTGTGAATTAAAGTTTCACAGAACTCACTAAATATTTGATAGATAGTAACAGCTTTATTCTTTCACTAGCTGAAGCTTGGGTGACTGAATAAGTACTCTCTAAGTTAAAATCTCTTGTCCTCACTTAGTCTTGCTTAATTTGTGAACTTAAATTTAAAAAAGGACTGGTCCCAGACCCTGTTAGGCTTTATATTTGACTCTAATCTCCAATTTAGAGGAAAAGTTAACAAAACATGAAACTGACCCCTAATAACTTAAATTACTTTGATACATGTTGGGTGTAGTTGCTAAACTATTGGAGCTGTCTCTGGACTTGAGAAGACAGAAATGCACAAGCCAGATGCAGAATGTTCCCTTTGTGGTTGTAATGGATTAAAGGTCAATTTTGTTGCTCCCTCCCATGGAAGACAGCTCATTAGATGTTCTGATGATTATTACACATCCCATTTCTAAGCAAGCCTCGATTAAAAGGATGCAACAAATATAAATAAAAAGAATAATTCCAGGCTTGCTGCCCAGTATTTACTATGCATTATTTTAGGGTACAGCCATAATTTTTTTTTTCTTTATGCTCAAGCATCCTGCCAAAAAAACCAACTTATCTTGCAGCAGAAAGATTGTATTGCAGGGGAAAATAATAGTGTATTACAAGAACATCTTCTGTAGGATAAGTGTCAAAAAGAACAAGACAAAATGTGTGCATTTGACCAAAACATTAAAAACAAACAAATTCAAAAAAAGGTGGAAAAAAGTTATTTGTTTTTATTTATTTGGGGTTACTTGCAACAGCAGTAGTTACAAATATTTTAAGAGAGAATAATCACAAAACACTGCTGCTATTGGGCAGTTCAGCATTTCTGTGGACAAAAGTTATATTTATGAAAAGATCATCAGCATAAACTTCTTCACCTGAACTTCAAACGTAGGTTCATGGTGAATCAGATCTTATGCTGCCTTTTACTATAATGCTACGATAAAGAAGCTGTCTGGCCTACATCTCTTTCACATTGCTATGTAGCAAGGTGCTCTGCTAACCTAATCTCAAAGGAACTCAATGCCAAGAGGTAACTGGCTTTCTAAGAGGCTTAGTGTGCTGGAGTGAAAATGTGCTTATATTTTGGGAGTCTGAAGAATGAACAAAACTCTGATCTACTTTGCTGCTACTCTTCCTCTTTGAGTTCTGTGATTCAAAACCATCCTGGTCAGGGTTGGTGCGATTGCTTGTTGTGCAGATGACATAATTCTTCTCTTTTGAAGGCATGTTGTTTTGGGGGATTATTTTTTTTTCTCATTTTTCTATAAGAAAACTCTGCTTAATGAATTTTTATTATAACTGGTTTTAGATAATTACATCTGGTGTTTGTTTAGGAGTATACTTTAATTGGAGAATCATTATGTATTGCTCATTTTTAAGATTTATACTGAAATTATGTAATTGATTTCTATTAAAAATGACTCTCTAATGACCCAAAGTGTTTCCTTTAAATCAAGGGTGATTGAGAAGTATGAGAAGTCACTGGAATGAATGCCACTTATATAAAAATATGAGCTTATGTGTAGTGAAGAGATCTGAATATGGATACGTGAATATATATGTGTTTGCGTGTATGTCTAACCTGTATTAACAGGAAAAATTCACTGGTTTTCTGTTTTGTTTCTTTGTTTTTAAGGGCTCACAGTTTGTCTCCAACAGATCATCTGGCAGCATTTTACTTGGCACTGCAGCTTGCCATATCCAGACAGGTTAGTTGTGTTTTAAAGGTGCAGCCTCACACTGTCATATGAAGATTAGAATTTTTATCTGTTTATGGATACAGATGAAGATTACTTCAATAAAACCCTGGTTTTCCTTGTGCATATATGCATATATATGGAAAAACAACCCCAAAATACTCTCTCTGAACACCTTCAGTCTTTTACCCTTCTCCAGACTTCTGCCACAGTATTTCCAGCTCTAGGATCAGAAATAAGACATTCAGTTTATTTGTTTCAGCATTTATGTTGCTGGATGGAGGGGGGGGAGGGGAGGGGAAAGTCAGTTTTTACCCTGTTTTTACCTATTATGTGTAATCTCTGCTCAGACTGGTTATCTGGAGGGTGGGACTCTTGAATCTAGTCTTCAGTGAGCTTGACAGTGCTTAAATCTTGAGTATCTGTTAAGATCCATGCCTTTTCTGAATACTTGTAGGAGGTTTGGTTGTTGCGAACAAAATTACAAAAATGTGTTTAAGAAAACTGGAAAATATTTTAAAGCTATAAAAGAGATCATAGCTAAGTCCAACTTGTACAGCTGTTATGATTAAGGGATTTAGGATTCTACCATATATCACATGAATTTGGATAATGTGGAGCTGTTTTGTATATGTCATGATAAGCCTTCTCCTGTCATGTTTGTTTTAGGAAGGAGTTTTGAACACAGCAGTTTACATCTCTAGGTGACTGTTTTTCATTGCTAATGAGTAGCAGAGACATTGGACTATGTCACATTAGAGCAGAATGGATTGTCACTTTAATAGCACAAAATATTTTTCAGTAGCAGGCTATGACTCTGTACTTCTAAATTCCAAACTTCCTATGTTGCTTAATTAAATTTCCCGTTTTTGACACTTAGTGTACTTATTTTGAGCAGAAGCACATGCAGTTGAGGAGATCATGAAATTCCACATGAAGAAAAGTTACTGTTGTAGTCTAGCTGTACATTTTAGTTAATGTATTACAATTAAAATATTTTCAAAATCATATAATAATACAACCAATACTTGAAAAGGAATAGTAAGTGAATATTTTAAAGGGCTGAAAGGAACTGTTTTATTAAAACATGTATCTCATTTTCCAGAGTTAATATATTATTTAATTTTTACTGTTCACTGATGTAGAGCATCAGGTCCATTTTAAACTTCTGAGTAGTATCTTACATGATATCCAGGTGAACATTTTGAAAATTTTATGGACGTGCAATCAAGTAGTAGGCAAAACTTCTAATAGTGGTGCTTTCTTTTTCTGCCCTTTTTTTTTTTTTTTTTTTTTAATCAGATACCAGAAGCTTTGGGTTATGTTCGTCAGGCTCTGCAACTACAAGGAGATGATGCCAACTCTCTTCATCTCCTTGCACTCTTGCTATCAGCCCAGAAACACTATCATGATGCTTTGAATATCATTGACATGGCCTTGAGTGAATATCCAGAAAATTTTATGTGAGTGAATGTCATGTTTGCTTTCTACGCTTTCTCTCATATTTATTTTTCTTAGATTCTCATCTCATTCATTTCAAGAGGAGATGGATTTGAAGATTGGTCTGGATTTTTTTCCAACAGTCTTTCCCCCTGCCCATTTAATGCAAGTCTGCTTTTTATTAAAGGCTTGTTAAATAATTTTGATCAAGGATTTGCTTTTGAAAGGAAGGCTGGAGCTGGATAGTTGATCTTATTTTGTTTTTTTCCACAGACTCTTTGTTTAGGTAATTTCTCCCTGTTGCATGCTTTAGAGTATTTTTCTGTCTCCTGTTTTTATACAATATTCTAAGAAGGATAAACAGGACTTTACTATTAGCTAGGTTAGATTAATCCCATCCTACAGATAACTCTATGCATATTATATGGAATCTATTCTGTAAATTACATCATAACAGAGAATCTCCTCTTTTGCCTGTATAATAACCAGTCAACTGAAGCTGGCTGATGGATAACTAAATAAGTTAACAGGGAGGAAACATGTTTGGTAGATGCTCTCGTGTTGTTGAAGAAAAAAATCATTCTTTGTGGTTATTCTTCATGCTAAGTATATCTTAAAATACATTTGGATTTTGTACTTTTGTAAGCTATTTATTTATTTATTTTCTTATGAAAATCTAATGAAATGCTTTGCAGTGAAATATCTCAGGGACAGCTTCTATTAACTTCCAGTGTTCCATTCTGGTGCTTTACTAACAGTCACCACGGTTGTGATCCATAGTATTACAAATATCCTAAATGCTTATTTAGACAATTTTTTGAAGTATCTCAATCTTAACTTTTAAATGACTGGCCTGTAACATAAATTGTTACTATACCAACCTACCAGAAAAATATGATTTCTTTAAGAATTATTAGTTTGAAATAAAGATTATAGTGTTTTTCCTTCCTGTTCCTTGACATTTCATGCCTTCTGTTGGCTGTTTATATAAGGTACTGTTGCCTTTTTCCTTATAAATCTGACCAGGACCTCTGTTGATATCACCTCTCCTCAGAACTTCTGTGGCTTGCAGCCACTTCTGTGCAACTGCTTTTGTGGCCTTTTGCTGTTTCTCACTTCCTAGTTTATCCACACGTGTATAACTTGTCTCTCTTCTTATCAGGGGCTTCCACACATGCTTCACGATTTCAGAACTATCTAGCAGTTCCTCTCCCAAACCTGTCTCTGCTTCCCTTAGGTCTGAGGGACCAGTCAGTAAGTCATGGTTTGAGAGACAATTGAAGTATCAGCTACCTAATTTTATACCCTATTATTGTTAAATATGTTCAAAGCACCATGATCTGTCATCTTCTGTCCTTGTTTCATCTTCTGCCACTTAGTGGCAATGTAAATGACAAAGAAGCTGCTATCTCTCTCAGAACAGAAATAGTCTAGAAGAAATATTTCTGAAACTGCAGTTCTCCCTATTGTAATAAGAGAACAAAGGATCATTCAGTAAAATGTTTAAAGTTACTCTTGTGAGCATTCAAAAGGTATTTATGGGTTTTTCAATATTATGGTTCATGGCCTTTCAGTACTTGTTTATAACTGCATCTTGTGGTTAAACATGTTGCCTGAGTTGTTTTAAAAAGTATTGATCTTTCTATTAATGTACGTATATATATTAATCATATATATAATAGTCATTCTAAATTGTTAGTCCTGTTGTATAATGCAAACACCGTGGTGATACAGTGTACTATGTTACAACCTACTGATACAGATCAGGGAATTTGAGAGGAGTATCTTGGCAGTAGAAATTACCATCAGATGTGGCAACAATTGCTGAAGAATCCAAGGTGAAACACAGCTATATGTATCTCTAGACAATCTTTTAGAGTCTTGTTTTTGATGCTGTTAAGTTATTTCTGGTTCCCAGAGAAGTAAGGATATGATTGAGATTCCTTGTGTGCTCTCTGCAATTGATAGTGACAGCCAGACAGATGCATCTGGTCAATAATATAAATTTGGATTGATGCCTTCATGTAACTGGGTTATTTTTCAAGGATTTATCAGGAAAACCTCAAGTTTACAATCTGTTCTTGCATAGCATATCTGGTGCTCTTGAAATGGTTGACAACATGTATGTGCATATATATAAAATATAAAACACAAGTGCTTAGTGTATCATTGATTCCATTTTCTTCTTCTGCAACTTCTGTAAACAATACAATCTCACGCTACTTCCTAGCAGACTGGCAAGAGATCCTCTTGTGTTCCTCTAAGGCTTGCTAATTTTTAGATATACTGAAACATTTGATTATTTGCCTATGGTACTTTATTGGCTTTTGAGAACACTTCAAATATCATCATGTGTTACGTTTTACCTTTCAGTTACATCTGCAATCCCAGTAAGCTACACAATACAAGAGTTTTCTTGGTATTCTCTGCATTTCTGTTAGAATCCATTACCTCAGTGTTATGCAAAATGATACTTTGGTGGCTTTGCAGCATAATAAATGTCTGTACTTGGAAAATATTAAAGTAAAACATAGGGCTTATGATTTATGCTATTTCTTACTTCTTTTTTTGTTATTCTTATCTGCATACCTCTGTATGCTGTAATTGCATTGCTGCACTGAGTGCTGTCCTGCCCTGTTAACAGCTGTATGTCCTTTTTGTTTTGCTTTTCTTTGAAAAGAATCTAATTTTTTAGAAGTTTATAATACCTCATCTTTATAAAATGCCAGAGGTTGCAAGGAAGTCATAGAATACACTTCAAGTCATGCTGAGAAGTGGATACTTTCCAGCACTCTTCTGTTGTAATCAATTAGTAAGTATGTTGTCTGTCAGTTTTTAACATTTGAAAATCTGATGCATTCCTAGAATTCATGTTCAATATTTAAGGCGTATGGCCAGCATACTTTCATATCTTAAATTAGTGTTAACCTTCGTGCACTGTAAAGCTAGAAAGTTGCTGAACAAACATGGCCAATCAGATAATGATTGCCCCATGCACCTCTAGGTCAGTAAGTAGAAGGAAATTCCTCAGAGCCAAAGAATTCTATCCTATCATTATCTAAAGGAGTGGAAGAAATGAGCCAACATCACATTGTGCTGTTAGTAGCGAGGTATAGCTTTTTCTTTGAATAGAGAGTTGATTGTTCTTCCTTTGTTCATTACATTGGCAGCATAAATAGGCAATCTGCTCTGAGACCTTAAGGGGTATTAGAAAAACTATTGGTGAAAATCTAAGAAACCTCTAAAAGTGAAATAGGTACGTAGTAATGCTTTCCAAAAATAGTCAAAATGCAAAATATTTGCTGAATATCTATACCACTATCAGTTCAAACTTTTTGTAAGCTTAAAATGCTATGTTGTAACCACTCTACTTATAAACGTTAACTGTGTTTTTCAGAGCGATACAATCAATCTACTTTTAAATGCTAGCTAATCTTTGAAGCCTCCTAAAATCTGAGAGTGCTTTGATCCAGGGACAAAAAGGTCTCTAGACAAAAGATTACTGAGCAGATTATGATTACTGAAAAGATTATGAATACTCTGCTTTGGTGAGATGGGTGGGAGCAAGGTGCCAGCACCAAAAAATCTGAATAGTTAATCTCAGTCAGGTCCTACTGCATCTGAATTCATCTAAAGTTACACTGTTTTTCCCCACCTTTCATTAGACAACTTGTCCCTGTAGTAGAAATGTGAAGTTCAGTTATTCCCCAGCTTGACAGGATTTGAACTCACAGATGATGCAGCTCAGAGTCCTAACCATCAAACTATGTGGGAGACTGGGTGAGACGATTCATTTCTCCTCTTGAAACAGAAGCAGGGACATGCTGCCCTGAACGCAAAGAGAGTAGGCAGGAGGAAGCCACAATATATCCTAAATTACTAGAGCACTTAACCGTGAGGGAGGCTTGAGATCTTAGCTGCTTGGGTTTTCCTTGAATTTTATTTATTTTAATGCAATGATTGCCTACTCTGAATGTATAAGCATTCCCAGAGGTGTGCATTATAGTCTGAAGGTGTATTCAAGGTGATGCAAGGTAATGGTGGTTGTGTTGCATTGGTTCATACTCGGCTTGTATATCTTGTTCAGTATATATAGTACAGTTACATGTGCAATTACCTGAGGAGCCTTATTTACAAACTCCTTTCCATGACTCTTTCCTGTCTTTTTATCTGCTTGTTGCAAGGAATCTATATGTTAGTGGTCTTTTGAATGATATGAAATCTTGAAACAGCTCTTCTATCTGTTTCTGCTTCAGTGTTAGTCAAAAGGAGATTCTCAGTCAACGGAGACAGAGTTAGGTTTCTTACTTAAATACTTGTGATATTGTTTTCTTAATCTTAGCTGTTCGGGGTTCCCTCATTATTTCAAGTGTTGGGGTATTTAAAGATGATTATAGTGCCTCAAATGAGTGTAATTAGGCAAAATAAATAATAAATATTAATTGCTAATTTTATGCTGAAAATTGAACTGCAATGGATAGCAGCTGACAAGCTTTTAAAGTAGCAGAAGTAGGGAACAGCAGATGGGTTATTTGAGGAGTGCAAGCATGTTATTTTAATGTTAAGTACACTCAAAAAGGAAAGACATATGGTAACAGGTTTGAAGACAACTGAAGACTAAGTTCACAGTTTAAACATTTACATTTGTTGAAGTGTGATGGAAATTTTTTTTTCTTCCAAGAATATTTCACAGAAGCATCAGGCCAATATGTCACTCCTGAAAACTATTAAATCCTTTCCTTCCTGACCCTCAAGGGCTCTTTTTGAGCTACAGTACACTTCCCAGAATCACAGAGCCTTTTAACATTCCTCTCAGTTCATTGATTAACAAACTTGTTTCCTTCTGGGAGCTGTCCAGGTGGGCATAACAGAAGAGCTGGTTGGTACATGCAATGTATGATGATACATACACTGATGTTTTGTGGGACAGCGATGTATTTATCAATTAAAGGGAATAGGCTACGCTATTCTGTTTTCCCAAGGTCAGCTGTAGTTGTACTACAGTGTGTGGTGCTGGTTAAAC